GCTCCCGCAGCCCTCCGCCCCCCTCTGCCGCGGCGCGGCCGGCTGCTCCCGGGAGCATCTCGTCTCATCCGTCGCGACATCTGTCCGCTGCCGCCCCCGTTTTCCTCGTGCACACTCCCACCTCTGCCCGCTGCTCCGCGCACAGCCGCCTGCAGCCAGCCTTCCCCGGGCTCGCGTTCCTGAGCGCGCTCTCTTTTCTGAGGTCCACTTCCTGTGCGGGGGTCCAGTTGCTGCTGCTCGGTGCTCCTGGGGCTCGGGAGAGGGGCTACGGGGTGCCCGTCTGCACCCCAGCGATGCGAGGCGACAGCCCCAGGCCGGAGCCCTTGGGCGCGAGCCGGGACTAGCGTGCTGGTTTCTCTCGTGCCCACTTCCAGCTCCTTTTTAGCTCCCTGTGACCCTCAGCAGACCAGAATTTGGTGGGATTCCTCCGTGCAGCCAGGGCTGCTTTTGTTTGTTTTTTTTAAATTTAATTTAAACGTCCTAAAGGCTTCCTAGGGTCCTCTTGGTTTGACTCATTTGGTGGAGAAAACGCGAAACACCACAGGTTCGTTTTTCTTTCCCATGTGTTATTTATTTAAGAGGTATGTTTAACATTTCTTCTGTTCGGTGTGTCCTGTTCTTCCAATTTAGGTAGCTTCGCTTTTAAAGGCAGGACAACCCCCCCCCCCCGGGGGAGGCTCTTTTTCTTTCTTTTTTTTTAAATCCTAGCGTGTGGCAATCCTGCAGACTGCCTGCACTTTTCCGTATGTCGCCCAGTGAGCCATGCCCTCTGGTCCAGTGACTCCTGTGTAACTGTCCAGAGCCCGGGCTGGTAATGCGTGGGGCATTGAAGTCAGGAGCTCAGATGGGCTTTCTTAACGGCTTCGTTACCACGTTCTTAAACTCTTTCTGGTGTGTTAAAAATACCTTATCCGGTGGGAATTTCCTGATCTCTTGCCCGTGGGGAGCGGAGCCTGGGGAGTAAATCCGAGTGTGAGAAACCAGCCCGAATGTTTTCTGGGAGAGGACTAGAATTGTGGCCCTTTAACGTTCATGAAACGTGTTAGATGAGAGGAGCTTACTTGACAGAACGCTTCACAAGCTTGTGTCTCCATTTCTCCATCTCTGAGTTTTCTAGGGGAAAAAAACTCGTTATACATTTGGTGGGAAGGTGGAATCTCTTAGTAATTAGACCTGAGAGTTTTCACCTGTGAGTAAAGACTAACTGAACAGGCTAGAAAGAAAGATAAAGTGAATTTTCTAGGAGAGAGCAAGCTCCAACACAGGGTTTGAAGCCCTCACAAGAGTCCGGCGGTAGCGGAGGCCATGTCCTCAGGATATGAAGCCAGCTGTGGGGTGAGTGGCATTGAACGATGGCACAGGGGGAGAACAGTGGCAGCTGTCCCTGTGGAGCTGTGACTGGTGACCACCCTCCCGGAGAAGGGCTGTTGGTATTGTCTGAGGTAGAGCCGGGAGAAAAGTGAAGCTCCCACCACCTATGAGAGGGTGAGTGCCCCTGCATAGTTACTTCCGACTGGCCAGGAGTCGGAAGCAGTGGCGTTTCATCAAGTCTTAGATTTCTGCTAGAAATGAAGCTCAGCTCAGAGAATTTCTAATGTACTTCTTTTTTTTCTCGTAGTTTTTAGTATCTTTCTTTTGGGAAGCCTGTGATAATGAGGCAGCGAGCTAAACTTGAGGAAAGAAAGAAGGTTCCGTGAAAATAGCAAATCTCAGGGAGGTGGCATTGAGTTCTCAATCGGGAGAGGTGTGCTCACCTATAAACACCCTTGATTGTTTCCTGTGTGAACCAGTCGAATGCACCTTTACATTTTCGGTCTTCTAGGTGTCTTGGGTAATATAATTAGGTTGAAGAGAAACAGGATTTAAAAAATCTAATCTTGCAAGTAGAAGAGGAATTTGGAGACTCTCACAGTACAAACCTCTGCTGTAGTTAGGTCATAGTGTATGGTGTCGGATATTGCTCAGAGGTGTCCAAATGACCCATGCAGATCCCAGGATGGAGTCATAGGAGGATGAGCCATAGTGAAAGCAGAGTATGCCTAATAAATAACAGAACCTAATATATGCTGTAATGCCTACATGTATGTAATCTGTACCAAGTGAGCAAGGCTGTGCTCCAGGGCAGCTTTACTTAGGAAACCAGGCAGTAGCTGTAGCCTGCCCATGCCTGCCCTAGAGTATCACAACACACACATACACACACACACACACTTACATATACACACACACACAAAGTGTGCGCGCGCACACCAGTTACTTTTGTATATTCCTCTATTTGATGGGGTCTAATACCTTTTAGCCTCGTCAGTGATATTAATGATTAACGTCCTGGATGTTTGTTTTGTTGAGAGTTTTCACTGTTAGCTTAGTCTTTCACATTGTCATCATTTTAACCCTTTTCTCCAACTTCCTTTCTTACTTTGAGGGAGGGAAAATAAAAAAATGAAATAGATTGGGAATATGATCTTAGCATAAGAACAATAAGATACACAAACATACAGTATTATAATGGTAGATTACAAGAATGGCTACTTAAGTTCTTTGTATATAGTCCCCTCCTCCCTTTTTATTCCCCTCCGCTCTGCTGGTGCTGGGGATTGAACCCAACTCAGGGTTTCATACATGTTAGGCAGGCACTCTAGCTCGGTGGTACCTTCCTAGCCCCACATTTTTCTTATGCCGATTTTGATCTTTTAAAGTCACTGAGCAGAGGGAGGGGTAAACATTAACATAAGTGACAGAATTTTTGGTTATTAATATTTACTAACCTGCCCCCATATAAATTTTTTTCTTTTTGGAGACAAGGTCTCACCATGTAGTTCAGGCTGGCCTTGAGCTCACTATATAGCCCAGGCTGACCTTGAACTTGTAGCGATCCTCCCGCCTCAGCCTCCTTAGTGCTGGAATTACAAGTGTGCACCACCACACCTGGTTCTCCATGTAAGTTCTTAACACCCCTTGGCAGCCCGTAACAGTTTGTTCTGTGGGTTCTGGGAGACTTTTCCTTAGATTGAGGAATGGTTTGCCTCCCTGAAAATGTCATCCTTTAGGACCATATAGAGCAAATCTCCTGTTCCCTGTGGCAGATGTTTGAAGATTTGTGATGCATAGCACACATTTCCAATGCCAGCAATCTCGCTTAAATGTTAAATAGATTCTTCATTTTGCCAAGTCCGTACCAGTCAGCTTCTCTCATTTAGTTGACTCTTTGGGGCTTCCATAGTCATTGAGATCGCCATCCTTATTTGGTCCTCTGTTCCCTGGGCTAAATACCCTTTTTCAATCAGCAGTTTCTGATTTGACAGTGTTAAGTCCATTTGCCAACTTCTGAGTCCTCTGCCCTCATTTACCGTGTTAAGGGCCCTCTTAGAGTGGGGCTCTCAGAATGAATACAGTATGCAGTCTACAGCGTTGGCTGACAGTAATTTTCATTCCTTTTCCACACTCCACTTAGTTTTTAATAAAAACAAAACAAAGGTTGATAGGTTTTTTTCCTAAACAGTTGTATCCACTTGACTCACTGAAATCATAACTTTCTGTGTGTTGTGCTATTAAGCTAAATCATTTCCATGTCATTTTGAGATCTCAGTGCTGAACTTTGCCTTTATCTCTATTAAATTTCCTCTATAGAAATTCCAGACTGATAAAGTTTTTTTTTATCTTGGGTTTTCTCCCAATCTGAACTTACTACTCCCAGCACGACTTCCTTTATTTTGAAGCTGTAAAATATAAACGTACTGTGGCTTTGAATGGAAAAAATAGTTGACGAGGTCCCAAGCCATTCTTAATGGATTCAGTGGAAAATTAAGGGGAGGCCTTTAAAGGGAAGCATTGTTTGAGGTCCTGGAAGTGAAAGGAGGAGGAAATGTAGGGCATAGTGTTGCTGCTTGAGTTGATATGTTGGTGAGTTTTTTCTCTCAGCACATGTGTGTGTTTCCTGGGTGCAAGGCAGGTGTAAATCGTGAAGTTTTAGAATCTAAAAGGATCTTTGAGGTCATCTAGTCCAACCCTTCAATTTACAAATTAAAAAAGGACCAGGAGCTCATGAGTCAACAGGACAAGGAATTGTGAGGTTAGGAGCCTCCACGGATCAGAAAGACAGTGATGATGGAGGGAGGGCAAAACTGGAGTTGAAAGTTGAATCCATGCAAGGAAGTTGAAGTAGGGTGCCTGCATCATAAGCTGATTTATGTATGGCTTAGCAAGCTTTTGCTCAGTTTTTGCATTCCTTTTAGGGAGGCCAAGGACATTAATTAATATCAGTTGTATGCCCTCCCATCATAAAATAAAGAAACATATTTTCTTAAGAAATGCAAACCTTAGATCAGTTTATAATGTAGGCAGTTGACATCAAGTTGAGTGTTCTGGGGAAATACGTTAGCAAATTCCATCTGCGGATCTTATTAAAACTTGTTTCTACATATTTCCCTCTGTTTATGAACATAATACCTTTTCATTTTTAGGAAAGAGAGAAAATTTTGAAGAATACAAAAATTGCCTATAATTCCATAATCTAGATGTGCTACTTAGATCTTTTTGCTTCTACTTGTTTTTCTGCTCAGAAAATTTACATTTCAGACATTTTTTTTTATCACATTGGTTACATGGTTTTTACATCTGTATTTTCCCATATAACATTATATTGTGAACATTTTTCCATTTCTTTTTTTTGTGTGCCGGGAATCAAACTCAGGATCTTGCGTTTGCCAGGCGGGGCACTTATGCTACTGAGCTATATCCCCGGCGCAACCCCTCCATTTTATTTAAAATCATTGAAGAGCTTACTGACAGCATGATGGTCTTATTACTGACTTTAAAGCCATACTTCATATTTAATATTGCTCTTTTGAACATGTTATATATATACAGTATATATATTTACATATTATATACTGTGCATTTTATACTGAGTGCTGAGATGTTTGCATCTTTCTATAGAGATCTTTGTTCACCTAGAACACATTCTTAGAAAGTGAAATTGCTGAGTCAAAGATACAAACATTTGACTTGTTACAAATGGGAAATGACTTTTCAGTTTCCTCCCCACTAACACCAGGCAGGAGTACCTGTCACACTAGCTGCTGGCAGAGTTCAGAGATGTATTCTACTTCATTACTTTCATTTGAATGCTTTGAGATGAACTTTTTTTTTTTTTTTTTGAGAAAAGGTCTCACTATATAATTAGGCTGGCCTCGAACTCAAAGTGATCCTCCTGCCTCAGCCTTCCTAGTGCTTGGATTACAGGTGTGCCCCACCATATCCGGCAGGGATGAGCATTCTCAAAGTTAATTTTTCTCTCATTTGTGATTGTTTTTTAAGAATAATTTCTAGAAGTGGAATTTCAGGGCCAGAGGGTAGGTTCAATTTCAGTACCTTTATGACCTAGAAAGGAGAGCCAGCTTGCAGTCCCTGCGGCAGAGTGTGGGAATGTTTACCCTGGATCCTGATTAGCACCAGATACAATAATTTACAGTTGTTTGCTGACTTACAGGTAGAAAGTGGCACTGTATCAAGTTTGAAATGTACATTTTCTTGATTGCTAGGAAGGTTAAACATTTAAATACGTTTTATCATTTGAACCCCTTTTTGTGTAACTTCCTGTCTGTATGTATTCCTTGACTGTTGTATTGCTTTTGCTTCTTGTAACTGGGTCATGTTGTAGATACTTCCGCAGTCTTCTAAACAAGTTTCAGGGTTTTTTTTCCCCCTTGTATATAACACAAAATCCTGTGATTCTTAGCTATTCAAATCTGAACTTCTATGGATTCTGCCTTTGCTTGGAATCCTAGAAAAGTGGCTGTGCTTCTCTTGAGATGAAATTACATATATATGTTTTCCTTTCCTGCTTGTAGTTCATTTATTAGAGTTTTTCAATCTACCGCCACAGCTCCCACCCGTAGAACTGGAGATTGAACCCAGAAAGTGCTGAGCTACATTCCCAGACTTTATTTTA